GGATCTTGATTTGAAATTAAAGTATAAAAAACGTGCATTAATCATGAATCAACCTAATATATTTTCATTAGCTAGCACATTGCGAAGTAAATACTCGCAAAAATTTGTAAGTCTTACATGAACGAGTAAAAGTATATTAGATTTCCAACAGCAACAAGCATATAACCAATTGCTAGATATTCGTAAGAAGTTTTTGATGCTAACATATATCGAGAAAGTGCTGGAAAATCGTGATCGATGACTTCATATCAAGTGTAAACCGAAGTTAGATAAGGGCAGCACTGAGGTTTTCTAGCACACGCCTTGATTGATTCACTTGATCGCCTGATCCTCTTATTCCACTTCGCTATTGGTCAAATCAGTGAAATGACCAGTAGCGAAGTGAAGTTGATCAAGCGGATCAAATATAGCGTTTGCCTTAGCATTGAATTTTGAGGTTTTTTACCGAGGTTCATAGTATGGCTTCTCTTACCGAGCACGCCGAATGCAGCGGCGGTGACAAAACGGGGCTTTGCCTGCATTGACGACGTCAACGACAAGAATGAAAGAGCCGCCAGAGGTAGACTGAACATCATTGGCGAATATGCCTAGAAGTGCAGTTGAGGATAATAAATTGGAGGATATTACCTCATAACCTTAGTGAATCCACCAGTTTCGATGTAAACCAGGAAACAGGTACCGCCATAGATACCCAGCACACGAGCTGGTCCATCCGCCATGAATCACTCTGGGAGTTGTCGAAGTGAATGCAAGTGAATGAACCTCATCTGTTTCTACTTCTTTTTATATGAGCCAAGCACGATAACAGACTATCACTCCCCATACCATGGGCTTCCTGTCATGTTATCCCAGTGGTGGAGCTGAACTGGCTCTAAGGCAGTACGAATTCTTATGCGGTTACTATGTAGAACAAAAGTTTACGAAAAAGACGAATTTAACAATAGTCGCATCCTCAAATGTTTTAGACTTTCAGCATTTATGTTTCGAATTTACTTGGCAGGAATCAAACTGGAAAACTCGTGTGGCTATT